ACGCGGATTCATCAATATTTTCAACAGAGACATTATTCGTAGTGATAGGCAGCGGGAGCGAGAGGAATTTGAAGAACTGTGGGAGTACGTATCTACATTCAATTTGGAGGAACTTTTTGGCCTCCAACCATACCCACCTGAGCCTGAAGAAGAAGAATGGTGGTAATCGAAAGACATGCAGATATTGAGTGATTCGTGCGATTTTTTATTGCTAATCGGAAGCAGATGTTTATAGTTCGATTTGAAATTAATTAAATTAAATTAAGATCCTGCTTATAAATATTGTAAGGACTATATAATAAGAGCTATATATTGTAAAATTACGTTATATAAAAGTAAACACGCATATTTAAACTATATATCTAGGTGTATGACATTACTTATTCCTTTCTTATTATCGCTATCATATTACGCGTGCCACCAGCATCTTCGCGCTCAATGGTACTGTGACGGACGGTCATGACGTATTAAGCGTTCTCTCTATTTAAATTATTAAATAAAAAACGTATGATAAAATACTTTTGGGTGCGAGAAGAAAATACAACGAGAGCGACGACGCAGCGGGTAAGATGACAAAACATAAATAGGAGAGAGGTGGTAAGTGTATGCTGTAAGTGTATGCGGTAAGCTTTTGTCACCGATGCATTTTTGGGGTGGGCGGCGGCGGCGGATGAAAAAAATAAGGAATGCATTGTTTATGTGGGTCCTATTACAACGATGCCGCCGGGACTTCCTGCGCCTTCCCCCTCTACCGCGCACTCCTCCGCTCGCGCTCCCCCCGCGCCCCGCGCTCCCCTCAGAGGTCCTGGGTTTCGGATCCGCCTTATATGGCTACTGACAATGCATGTTTCGCCTGGTCAGTGATCACCGCTCTGTAACCAGTTAAAAGTCATGTGAATAGGAAATCGTCGTATCCGGATTATACAATACTACTGTGTTGAATTTTGAGGGTATCGATTTTCCCGTTACTTTAAAACAAATTACGAAATTTGAACTTTTGAACGATATATCTATCAATGTATTTATCAAGCGAGAGAGAAGTGGGAAAAAAGACGATGGTAATATAATCGTTCCTCTTCGTATTACCAAAGAGAAGAAAGAGAAACATGTAAATTTGTTGTACCTGCAAGACTGATGTGCTTTTATTAGCAGATGTTTTTGAAAATTTTCGTGATACTTGTATTGAGAGTTACGGATTGGATCCGACATATTATTACACTTTACTGGGATATACGTGGGACGCTATGTTGAAAAACACTGGTATTCGATTCGAATTACTCACCGACATCGATATGGTGATGTTTGTGGAATGTGATATACGCGGTGGTTTAAGTCAATGTTCACATAGATACGCGCAAGCTAATAACAAGTATAATGCATCTTCGTACGATCCTTCGGAACCCTCGACGTACCTCATGTACTTCGATGTGAATAATTTGTACGGTTGGGCAATGTCCGAATCCTTACCGTACGAAGAATTTCAATGGGTCGACGACATCGAGCGCTTTGACGTAATGTCTGTGTCGTCAGACTCCGTTATCGGTTATATTCTAGAAGTCGACCTTGCGTATCCACAAAGCGTTCATGACGTTCATGCTGACCTTCCATTCTGCCCCACTCGCGAACGGCCTTCCGGAAAACGGAATGCTGTTGGCCACTCTTTACAATAAGGAGCGCTATGTCGTGTATTATCGCAATTTACAACAATGCATTCAGCATGGACTATACGTGAAAAAAATTCATCGAATATTACGATTCGCACAATCCCCATGAATTTGAGAAGAATCTTTACAAATTGATGAATAATGCGGTATTTGGAAAAACGATGGAGAACGTACGCGATCATGTTGACATTCGACTTATAACGCGTTGGGATGGGAGATACGGTGCGGAAGCGATGATATCGAAACCGAATTTTCACAGTAGAAGTATTTTTTCTGAAAATCTAATTGCTGTTGAATTTCGCAAACTCGAGGTAAAATTGAATAAACCGATATACGTAGGTATGTGCATTCTCGAAATATCTAAGTTGCGTCTATATGAATTTCACTATGAGTATATAATACCATTGTATCGCGATAAATGTAAGATTATGTACACGGACACTGACAGCTTGATTTATCTTCTAGAGTGTGCGAATGTATACGAGGACATCAAGCGTGATATCGCGAATTCGACACGAATGATTATCCTGAGAGAAATGCATATGATATTCCACGCGTTAATAATAAAATATCCGGTTTGATGAAAGATGAAAATAGTGGTGCGATTATGACGGAATTCATAGGACTCAGAGCGAAAATGTACGCATTGAGAGTAATTGGAAAGAGCGATATGAAGAGAATAAAGAGTGTCAAGAAAAACGTAATCGCGAAAACGATCACTTTCGACGATTATGTGCGATGTTTAAACGATGTAACGATACAGTCGAGACGTCAGTCGTGCATACGATCGACATTGCACGAGGTTTACACGGTATCTGAACTGAAGCTCGCTCTTAGTCCGTATGATGATAAGCGATATGTCATACCCGAATCGGTCACTACTCTATCTTGGGAACATTATAAAATACCTCTGTAATGTGTGTGCTGTATTTTTATTGTAATAAATAAAAAGTTACAATACATTCGTTTTATCTATCCAAGAATTATGTGAATTGTCCATTCCTAACCATTTCACGTACACTTTATTTCCTCGTTTGCGTAGTATTTTTTCCACAAGATAAACGTCAGGATTAGAGACTCGCTGTAATTCGTGTTCGTAGAATTCACCAACTATCGGCTTCCCTTGATAATCTTTCAGTAGATACGTTGCAGGATTCGTACGTTGTGTTTTAACGATGTAGAAAATCTCGGTAGATCAATTAGGTGTATAACTCTTTTCAAAAATTGTCTTGAATTTACTAATACGTACTGGATCGCCTATCTTGAACCTCGTTGGAGCGGCAATTTTTACATGACTGTATACCGTCGCCAAGAGTCGTTTTGCAACGACGATGTTACGTCTATCGGTCGCATCCCAATAGTTCGATGTTTACGATGATTATAATCTGACAATAAACGCGGTAGCTCCTCGATCCATTTGTACGAGCCGTTTAATGTTTTCCACATGTTATTCTTGAGTGTACAGTTAAATCGTTCCACTACCGACGCTTTCATCACCGAATACGTCGAATAATGATTTATGTTGTATCTTTTCACAATTTTTTTTTGCACGGTAGTGTTGTAAAATTCCTTTCCTTGATCCGTCTGCAGGTTTCGTGGGTATCGTTCGTCCTCGCGAAATATTTTAGATAACGCTGCGGCTACGTCGCTTCCGTTCTTGCTCTTGAGTACTAGAGCCCATGCGTATTTACTCAAAACATCGATAACTGTTAAAATGTAATTGTAACCTTTGTTGAATCGCGCGTAAGGACGCATCTCGACTACGTCGGCTTGCCATAAATTATCGCGATCGTGCACCACGACGCGACGACGTGGAAAATTTCTTCGCGCGGGTGCGTGGAGTTTTTCGTTTCTCGACACTCATCTCTCTCTGTTATGACAGGAAACGAGCTTTGCGCATATCTTTTAAACCTTCCTATCCGTAGATGCGATAACTGTAGATGTGTTTAAATACCTAGACACCTCGATTCAAATGCTGAATCTCGTTCTCGTTATACACTTTCATCGATATTGTTGACGCAGATCACTTACACCGCGATGCAGTATCTGAATATCATTAGACACTTTCTGAAGCGCCAGCACGAGCATATCTCTTCCTGTCGTTTTAAACGATTTCTCTAACGTCTCTTTCGTCACCATATTATTCATTTGTTGACGCAGATCAGTTATACCACGCTTATCTTCACGTTGTTTCGTACTTTTTCCATATCGTTCGAGATATCTTTCTGCGCATTCTGAAGCACGCGTACGATTATATCTCTCCTTGTCATTTTAAACGATTTCTCCAATATCTCATTAGTCACTACAGTTTTCATTCGTACAGTTACATCTCGATTCAGATGCTGAATCTCGTCAGACATCCTCGTCACGCTCTTTTCCACGTTTCTTCGCACCTTCTCCACATCGCTATGCACTTCCTGTGTATCTCTCCTTATCGTTCTAAATAATTCCTCGATCTCGTTTCGCGTATCTAGAAGCGTGCGTTCGACGTAGCTTTTGTTTACTATATCGGTGTCGAATTCCGGTGCAGCTACGTGTTCTATTTTTCGTTTCTTCGCGTCGTAATGATCTAGATTCAGACAGAGCCCACTGTCGTGTACGTAATTTCGTAAAGATTCTATCAACGATCGCGACTTTCCGATTTCGTCTCTCTTCATAGATATACCAAATTTATTCACAAACATATCGAGTTCGCGCGAACCTGACAACTGTCGCGATTTTCGTCACGATTCAATTTATAATTAATCCAGCTTCGCGAAGTTCTTCGATTATCGACAATATTTCGTTGTCGTGAGCGTTATTACCCGCTCGACGAGAAGCATCGAGCAATTGAAGATGATCCACCAACTCGTTGGGATCGTCCTAATGAACGTAATCTATTTCATTGTCAGTCAATTTCGCAGCGGATGGTATATTTGTCTTTATACCTGAACCCATACTCGTGCCACTGGTTTTATAAGTAACTAAGAGCGGGGCGATAATGTTTTTGTATTTGTGTCCCTTGTTACTCTTAATAGGCATTCTGGCGTTATTGTCACGTTTGTGAGCATTCGTCATCAATAATATATGTTTGTACGTTTGTTTATCATTCTCGGTGTAGATAGCGTCGTTTGGAATCTTCTTGAAAATCAGGTCGTATAGACCTGGTGTACCTTTGTACCTCACTCCGTCTATGATTATAGTGTCGTCCGTATCTACGTCAAATTTTTTATTACCTAACATCGTACCGTTTTTTTCATCAAAATAAACACCGTAGACAAGATCGATTTCGTTTCTTGCATTACCAGTTAAAAGAGTATTCACATATACTTGTCTAACGGTCCTAACTGACTTGGTCTATGACGACCTTGAGGTGTGCTCCTGTCTGACAGACGTTTCAAGCGATGGATCATCACTGATTTTAAAAACTTCTTCGTCCTGTAAGTCAAAAGGAGTTACTTGTTGTGATTCTATTGGTGTGGAATGAATTATGGACGAATCAGACATGACGTTTAATCGTTTCTTTTTTATTTGTTTGTTCCATGAAAGACGCTGGGGAGTAATTTGTGTTGGAATTGCATCATTATCATCATCGTCGTCGTCGTTGTCGTTATCATCATCCTCATCATCGCTGCACTCACGTTTATTCTTTTGCTTATTCTCCATAAACTTAGTTTCAAATGGTTTACTTCCACGTTCAGTGTTTCCAGCAATTTGTTTCAACGGTTCGATAATAGGTTTTAATTGTTTCTCTAGAACGATCTCATTCTTCATTATACCAGTCTTCAATGCTCTGTGTTTCTTACGAATCGACGCACGTGTCTTCGCGATCAGTTTCGCTGTTTTCTCCCGTTCAGAGATACTTTTCGTTCTGACCATCTTATCGTAATGTCAAAGAAGTACTGTTCACTTTTTTTCACAAAACACTACAGATGATTTTTTACACTACAGCGAAATCGTTGAATCCTCCTCTGTATCTACCGTTGCGTAATGCGCTATCTTTGTCTATTACCACAAAACCGTATTTGTGTTGCCAACATAAATGGCACAACGTGCAAAAATTCACATACGATATATCAGTGTTTACGTGATTGTTATAAATGTGTTTTAAGTTAGTACCATCTTGTTTGAATAGTATCAAAAAATTTGCATTATCGCGTATCAAATGTTTCGGTATTTTTGTATACGTCTGACAGAGATAAAAACAATCAATGTTCGTATGTCGACCCATAGAAAAATATTCTCTAATAGTATTCTGATTATCACAAGCCACATCATCGAATACGAATATTGAATTGGGAAGTGCCTCCTTTGGTGGTATGACGTCACGATTGTTGGAAAATGCGTAGTAGCCGATACCATTTATCGATTCGAGTAGTTCTTCCAAATCGATATTTCGGTTGAAAGAGAGATTTCGAATACACGTTTTCGAAACGTGCATCATGTGGACTTTCTATCAGATTTATCAAAGCGTTCGTTTTACCACAGTTGGACGGTCCACAGATGATGCAACGAATTGTATTCGGTAGTAAAGGGCCGTGTCTACGAATCTCTCCAAGCGTTTCATCAGACATGAGTCGCGTCTTGCGGTCGAGATTCGACACTCCTATCACTCGTGATTGTCGTACGAATCCCATCTACTCGTGTAACGCGCGTGCGCGATGTAACGCGAGCGAGTTTTTCGGCACTATTTATATTATAGCAGACACTCGATTCATACAGTTTACTGTAAAGAGCGGTCGTTGTTGTTATCGCAAAAATCTTTTTCTTACTAACGGATAAACGTGGGATTCTCGATTTTATCGCCGAGCAATTGCAATACATACCGAAGATTATTCTTCTACAGGAATTTGAGAATTACGTGGAGCTACTGTGGAATCGAACATTTAAAAACGGATCCTGAAATGCAACGTCGTCCGTGTATAAAGCATTACAATCGTTCGTGGCAACGAACACACATAGACGGTCCGCCACCACATATCAAAAATTGCGACATATGTCGCTGTCGTATGGGATAAGATAGCGTGGAGGTGGAATGATTCCTGCTTATGTGCAGGTTTACTTGACAAGACAATAAACGCGCTTCCATTTGAAGTACGAGGTCTGGCTATTAAATAACGAGACTGCTAATGAAAAAGAGTTTTATTTTAAAAATTATTCTACAATTGAATGCTCCCCTTCAATGTACTCCCCTCCCCTCGCCTCGCCACACACCGTTCCATTCGTTTTTTCCATTGGTCAAAGCAATGCTGGAAGTCTTCTTTTGTAAGAGCATTTAGGAGCTCCGCCGATTTTCGCTTCACCTTTTCCATCGACTCGAACCGGGTTCCTTTTAAGGCAGACTTGATCTTCGGAAACAGGAAAAAGTCACAGGGTGCTAAATCAGGCGAGTACGGCGCGTGTTCGAGCACTGGAGTGCCTCTAGCGGCTAAATAACGCTTCACAGAGAGCGCGTTATGGGCAGGTGCGTTGTCCTGGTGTAAGATCCACGACTTGTTTTTCCACAACTCCGGCCGTTTCTTACGAACTCGCTCTCGCAGTGTTGCCAAAACTGTCAAATAGTAAGTTTGGTTTACAGTTTGACCCTCTGGAACCCATTGATTTTGGTCACTGTTTGCGGAGTTGAAACAGAGACAGCTCAACCTGGACGTTGGTCATCTTCGGTGCTCTTTCGGCCTTCAGAAAGTCGTTTATACCATTCGAAAACACGCGCACGAGATAGAGAATTCTCACCATAAGCCTCTTTCAACATCTTATAGCACTCAGTCGGAGTTTTTTTTAATTTAACGAGAAATTTCACATTGATCCGTTGCTCGTGTTTTTCGTCACACATTGTTATCGGCACGAGAAAAAAATAAGTTCGTTTCTAACCTCTATAGAAAAAATACTACTACTGCGACAAAAACGTGTTTTCCTACTGGAATAGTAGACACTTCCAGCTATCCAACGCTGCATTCGTTTCCCACCCTACCCCTCTAGGACGCCTTCTGCGCGCGCAGTCTCGTTATTTAATAACCAGACCTCGTACATATAGGTTGAGTAAAAAGTCATCGCGTATTTTTTAGCTCAAAGTTGTATATACAATATCTTCGTCAATAATGAATGAAATTCAAATTTAAAAAAAGGATTTTAAAGCTTGAAATCTCTACTTTTAAAAGCTTATCACATTTTTTAAGTTTATATGAGTTTGATAATTTTTACATACTAACAACGACGAGCTGAAAAAGAAAAATTTTCTTCTCACTTTGTGGATTTGTAACGTGTTCAAAACGAATTTGAGAAAATTTTCGATTACCTATCGTGAAAGCTTGATACTTTCCCTACAAAATCGTTATTTTTTAATATTCCTACGACTTTTGATTACTGAGTTATCGCGGATTTAATAAAAGAATTATTTTGACTTTAATTGCTCATAACTCCTTAAAAATTGTCAGCTTGTATAATTTAAAAAAGAGATTTTTAAAGCTGAAACTTTACTCTATCAAGATATATTTATATTGTTGTAATTTGGTAAGAAAGTAATTGCGGTTTTTACTGATAGATGTCTTTTAAAAAAACGCGATGACTTTTTAACCTAATACCTGGTTATCAATTTTGTGGACCCGATACTCGTCTCGCGAAAAGACTAGCGCGTGGTGATCGAGATATAAATTGAATCGATATTAGGTGCGTGTCGCGAACATGATATCGCCTATTCGCGAAGCAACGATCTCGCCGATCGTCACATTGCTGATCGAGTTCTCGCCGAAAGAGCACGCGAACGTATAACAGCGAGTGATTCGACGTTTGGTGAGAAAGCTGCCGCAACTGCTGTATGAAAGCAAAAACGAAATTAGGGATGGGTATGAAAAGAAGAAAAAAAAACGAAAAGGAAGAGACTCCTTCCGGTAACGAAACGTGGAGGTTTCCTACCGATGTTAGGTGCGCTCGGATCTTTGATCGGTGGAGCGGCGAATGTAGCGAGAACTGTAAGCGATCGCAAAGCCGCTCGACGTCAGACGGAAGGTCGCGGACTGTATCTAGCGCCCTACGAACGTAGTGGTAGCGTGAGGAAAAGAAAGGCAAGAGATAAAAAAAAAACATCGTGGAAGGAAACGTTAGAGGCTCTTAAAATACCGCTTTCCGGTATCACAACGAACGAACAGTTAAGCTGCGTTTACTATTCTTCAGAGGTGTGTTTATGCGTGACGCGTTACCGACGAAATAATGAATCGAAACGCATCGTAATAAAAGCGGTATCGTCGATAATTCGGTCGAAAATCTCGATAATTCTGAAAATGCGGGCACACACTGGGTTGCTTATGCGAAAAAAGGAAATAACGCCGTTTACTTCGATGGTTTTGGCAATCTTAGACCGTCAAGGGAACTCGAACACTATCTCGGAAGCAACGTAACGTATAATCATCAAACGTTCTTATCTCTTATCAAACGTTCGATCAGAGTATTTGTGGTCAATTGTGTCTACGATTTCTTCGAGAAATAGATTGGAGGAAAAAATATATCTAATAATATGTCGTGAGTTATCTCAGTTGAGCGTTTACCTTCGATTACATCATGTCATTGACTCTTACGTTGACTGGAACAACCAGTATCCTCACGGCGAGTTACTTCTCTGCGTTCAATTTAAGTAATGGTGAATACGAATTAGGTCTTACGAATTTTGAAACGTACAACGCGATACCGAATGTTATTTCCACAAATAATAAATTCTACTTCGATACCGACGATAAAATAATCACGATTCCCGAAGGATCGTACGAATTGAGTGCTGTAAACAAGTATCTGAGAGTTGCTATTCGTCATATACGATGACGAACGCTTAACGATAAAGATAATAATGATGATGAATACATATTCGACGATGACGACGACGGGGACGATAGTACTCATAAAGAAGAGATACTGATTCTTCGAGCCAACGAGAATACTATGAGAAGCGAGATCAAATGTGCGTACCGAATAAATTTTACGACACCGAATGACATCGGTTCGCTATTATTTAAAATCTCGCATAATACAACCGAACAAGTAGTACGCGTCTGACAAACCTGTAAACATTATGAATGTAACTATAATTCGTATAGAATGCAACATTACTTCGGGTGCGTACAATAACGATAAACCAGCGCATACGATACACGAATTCGCGGTGAACGTTCCACCTGGATATAAATTGTCCGATACTTCCACACACGTCATTTATCTCCCAGTCGTCGCGAGAAACGTTACCGATATAATGATACGTATAGTGGATCAAAACGGACAATTGATAAACCTTCATAGAGAAGAGATATCGATTCGACTTCATATACGACGCAGACGGTAAAAAATATGCTCGAACGAAAGATGCTCGTTCTAAACGAGTCGCACGATTGTAAGAATACATTCACCACAATCATACCGCAGACGTCGCAATTATCATTGCTCACCGAACGATACGTTAGAAGAAAGCAGAGAGGAACGGAAGACAGATTGAACGCTGCGAACGTCGCATTTCTACGATCTCTGGGATTCGTCGTGAAAAATAAGTCGATATTCTAAATATAGGGGGTGAGCCCATCGTATCGTTAAGATCGAGACTCACACTTACAACCCATACGCCACACTTACACCACATTGGATAGCCATGAAATACGAATACCTATACAACACCAGGATTTGTACACGTTACCGTGGGAAAGTTTTCTCTACATTGAGGGAAAATTTTCAACGAAAAAACGAGATGAAAAAAAAACACATCCGAAGAGCATCCTCCACGACTATCGAATAATTGCGTTGCGTTCATGTTCAATGAGATTCAGTATGAGTTAGACGGTGGAAATCGATAGATCTAGAAACGTTGGTATTACTAGTAAGATCAAAAATTTCGTATCGTTAAC